GTGTTCCAGTCGACCCTCACATGAAGTTACAAAAGGGAGAAGGCGAGCCTGAGAAGAACATACCATACAGAGAAGCTGTGGGATCTCTCATGCATTTGGCCATAGTGAGTCGACCTGATATCATGTTTGCTGTCAGTCTGGTGAGTCGATTCCTTAATAGTTACAACCAAACACATTGGAATGCAGTTAAAAGGATTTTAAAATATTTGAAAGACACAAAGGAGTATGGCTTGTGTTACACTAACACCACACAACCCTCAGAAGTGACTGGCTATAGTGATGCCGACTATGCAAACGATTTCGACACCCGTCGATCAGTTACCGGCTATGTTTTTATGAAAAATGGAGCCGCTGTAACATGGGCCAGTCAGAGACAACCAACTGTGGCCCTATCCACGACGGAGGCAGAGTTTATGGCTGCCTGTGCTGCCACTAAAGAGGTGATGTGGCTCAAACAATTTTTGTCTGAAATTGGAGAATACACACAGGATATACTATATCTTCATCTAGACAATCAAAGTGCAATCAGTGTTATTAAAAATGTGAATTTCCATAAACGTTGTAAACACATAGATACCAAATATCATTTTATTAAGGAAAAATATCAGCAGAAGGTTATAGATTTAAAGTATGTCAGTAGTGACACCCAATTTGCTGATATATTAACCAAAGCATTGTCTAAACACAAGTTTCAATTTTTAAGATCCAATCTTGGAATGTGTCCATGTACTTAATTTGTTAAAGTAAATTTACATAATTATATATCTTATTATTGATATAGAATTTGATAGGAACATTATTAAAATTGTATTATTTTTGTTTGTAACTAGTTAACAAGGCTCGAATTCAAGGGGAGTGTTAAAATTAAAAAAAAAAAATGTAATTTGAATTTCGCGCCTTATGACGCCAACTCACGCTTGGCTACTTGTAATATTTTTCTATCTCCCGCCTTTTTCTTTTCTAATGTCAATGTCTGTTAAAACATCATAACGAGTACCGGTATAATAAAGATTTATTGTAATTAAACCAGTGAATACGCCTTTAATTTAACATGTTCATTATCAAAAATAAATAAATGCGATGCTTTTTGAACGATATAAGTCCTACTTCATTAGAAGCAACTGATTTACACATAATTCAGTAATTTGTAGGTTGATTTTCATGATGAATTGATGATATTCTCTTCAGAATTTCACGTGTGATAACCATCATTGCATAAACTAAAAAATTTAAAATTATGTAACCACAACTCATCACCATACCACATGAAATTTTAACGCTTTCCCACTATGGCAGCGTGCTTGGGGTTAAGCTTCACGTCGACTCCCCCGGGTACCCCGGAGCGCTCCGCGCTGTCCCCCGTGTCCTCGCTGGCCCTGCACGACTACTGGCCGTCGGTGTCCTCGGTCAGCGACGCGGACGACGTGGAGGCCGTCCTCGATTACAACGTAAATAACGATGTTCAACTTAATGTAATGTATTCTTTCAGCTTTTTATTTCATTTATTTTATTTTGTACTCTTGTTGCAGTTCGTTTCAAATACTTTTTGTATACACCGAACTACATTACATACTACGAACTTACTTTTGTTTATCGTTTATTGTTGGGTTTTTTAAAGTGTTGTTTGAAGTGTACTGCATAAGAGTTACTCAAGTTTTGTTTTTTCATTTGCAAATAACGACGTTAGGGTACCAAATGAGCATTTTTAAATTTTGATATTATCTTTAGATTTTTGAAATAAATGTAGCTTTTTTTTACTATATTGTGGAATATATTTGCTTGTAAGTTCTGGATTAAGTAGCCCTGGTGTGGACATTATCATGTGTGTGACATAATTATCATTTGCATTTACAGTTTGGTTTATTTTGCATTTTATTTTAAAAGTAGTCAGACAGTAGATTTGTTTTGCAGTTGTAGTATTATTTATGACAAAGAATATAGTGTGATCAATCTGTTAACATTCCAGGACACGTTGTTCGACATGTTGCTGAACAGCCTGGCTATAGACGGCGCGGCGGGCGAGGCGCTGGGCGCGGAGGCCCGGCCGCCCACGCCGCCCGTGCAGCCGTGGAGCCCGGCCGCCGCGCCGCCCGCGCCCGCGCAGCCCCCCGACCGCGCGGATTGACCGCAGCGCGCCCGGGCCCACCACCATCACCGCTACCGCCGCGAGTACCATCACTAAACTACCGGTGTCCATGCGCCTGGCGCCGCGCGCCGACCGCCTGGCGCCAGTGTAGCCGTGGCACCGCCGCACCCGACCCTCGCTCGCCGTCGAAGTCGCGGCTGACGTCCCGTGACGTAGTGGGCCGGCGCCGAATGTATCGACAGGCAGGCCGCCTCCCCGGCCGCTCCCAGTGGCTCTCCGGTCGCTCCCAGTAGCCCCTCAGTCGCTCCCCGTCGCCCCTCGCGCTCTATCTTATGTTCCTCCGAGTGGTGGATCTGAGCTCGCCTCTCAGTTCTAGGAACGTTTTATTAGATTTAATTTGGCACGATTATACTCTTTATGATATTTGAGTGTGCCACCTCTTAAGTTTTTTGAGGGATTCGTGTCTCCTCGTCACTTAGGTAGTTAGATAACCACGTATAAAAAGTACGGGCATTAGGTAAAAGACTCAAAATTGAAACGATCTCTTTATATTTATTTTTTTAGTAATTATTAATGTTTATCAGTACAATTTATTACTAGGGTGAAACGAGTCTGATTCGCCCGCTAAAATAATAAAGTGCTATTTTTTTTCTTATGATATGAAATATTTTTGTAATTCCCAGCCTCGTCATTGTCCTAAAACGCTTGCTAGAATTTGCATTTACTTTAAAAGTCTGTTTACTAAGAACTATATCCCAATCTCAGCTCACTAAGCGCTTGCCATCATGCCGGGAGTAATATAAGTATTGCCAATTGTATTTGTAGAGCTTGATAGACAGTTTTACTCAACGTAGGAGACAATTGATGTTCGTTTTACTAAATAAAATACATGTATACTCAATAGCTGTTTTTGAAACTATAGTATGACTAAGCTATCGTGTACTTGTCGAGAGATGCAACATAGGTTCAGGCTCCGTCGAATATAATTACATGACACAATGCACTGGACGCGAGAGTATGCTCTCGACGCGTGGAACGATGATATTTCAACTCTTCAACTAAGTTACGTGTCATTTGGTGTCGATAGTTCAAATAATATTGATGTTTCTTGTGATTGTATCGATCTCCGGTCGCACCGGGCGTAGTTGTCAGTGTTAAGTATTTAATCTGTTATATTAGTTAGGGACGACGACATGACTGAAAAGTTCAAAGTGTGTGATTCTGTAAGGTTACGATGAGGATCGAGTTATGGAGTAGCGTTAAGCACGTTTTATGTATTAGTTGCTGTGTTGACAAAATTATCAAATTATTATATTGGATTGCATTATCGAAATAACAATATTTAGTAATTTTAGCCAAATAAATAATAAAATTGAAAAAAAATGGAATTTTATTGGTACAATGTAACTGTCTAATTTTCCGAGATTGTATGTAAAGTTTTAATTATTTATTATATTTTATTCCATAATAGTAACAAAAGTTATGTATTGATGTTATGATTAAATGAATGTAATACATATTAATAAAATGTCACAAATGTGTTGTTATTTTGAACCCCAACTACCAACCAAATAAAGGAGAACGGCAGATTTCGTACCGCTTTGCTAAAAAAAGATTTGTCATTGTTTTGCCTTGGGCAATTGGGCAGCTATAGAATCCTCTAAATACGTTATGTTAGCATATTTAATAGATTTTTAGAACTTGGGAAGCCCTAGAAAATCTCATATTCAATAATGATAAGAAGCAATCAACAAAACGGCTACATATTAAATAAAAACAAACCGCGATTGACGTTTATAAAGTTGCCATGCGTAAACATGAAATCAGAGTATATTGAATGTCGCTATTTCATAAACTCATTTATTTTAATATCAATGGAATATTTTCCTTTCCATTTCAAACATTTTTTATAAGTAAATATCATTATTTTAATTTCATTTTGTGAGGTCTACATGGATTATTAACGATAATTAACATTTTCACAAACTTGAATATGGCAATGTTGAACTGGTATTTGACATTTGTTGTTGAAGACGATTTGTCAATGTCAAGTGCGCCTTGCTGTTGGTTTCGAATGCGGTGTTATGATGTGTTTGTACAAATTGGAAGTCATTTTATTCATCTGGTGATACTTTGAGTTGGGCAGCCGTTCCTCCGTAGCCGAAATTGCGAAAATACACTTATTTTCATTTGTGCATAGTGTGTTGTATTTTGTCGCGATGACGAATTTACAGTGCATTAATTACAACCAGAGTTTGTCGCATGAGACGGCATGCTCTAGGAAATGAGAGTGAAGACTAGACGTGGTCAACAATATCCCATTGTGGACTTATCCTAGAGATGTAAGTAGGTACTTACCTATAATTACACATGACGTATCGAAAGTCACCTTGTTGCCTAAATAAAGGGGGCATAGTGTTATCTACCTATAATGTATCATTTTATTCTAGATCTCTCCTACCGACCATATTTGCCATGCTTGCTGGCAATTAGCAATGTATTGGGATGTTCCTGAAAGTATGTCCAGCAAACAAACTGATCATTGACATGTCTGTGTCGTATGTGGGCATTCCATTGCAAGGATAAGGTGACGCAGGGGTTTAATTGAAGGCGCCAACGAACAGGAGCAAAGACTAGCTCATATAGTATCTGATTGGATTCAGCCACGAAAGGTAATAATTTATTGTATTAACCATATACTATTATCATATAATTTAAAGTCAATATGACATTCTAATAATATTACTTTTTTTAGCTTACTTCCAATGATGAAGATCGTGTTCCATGCTGGCTGAGAGCCTTAACAAGAGTCGGATCTATAAGACCACAACCTGACATACCACCTCATAGTGTTCACTATCAGGATGTAATGTGTTATGTAAACATTTAAAAAAAAAAAAAAAAAAAAATAACAAACTGATCATTGACATGTCTGTGTCGTATGTGGGCATTCCATTGCAAGGATAAGGTGACGCAGGGGTTTAATTGAAGGCGCCAACGAACAGGAGCAAAGACTAGCTCATATAGTATCTGATTGGATTCAGCCACGAAAGGTAATAATTTATTGTATTAACCATATACTATTATCATATAATTTAAAGTCAATATGACATTCTAATAATATTACTTTTTTTAGCTTACTTCCAATGATGAAGATCGTGTTCCATGCTGGCTGAGAGCCTTAACAAGAGTCGGATCTATAAGACCACAACCTGACATACCACCTCATAGTGTTCACTATCAGGATGTAATGTGTTATGTAAACATTTAAAAAAAAAAAAAAAAAAACGTTGCCCCACACTAGGATTTTCTCCTGTGTCGTGGGTGCGTTTACAAACATACAAGTTCACATACACAATGGACTAAGCCTCACTTTAACATTGCCGTTTGTAGAACAGATGAGGCCAGAAGATGTTGATCGGCTGTCAGAGCTTCAATAGGTATGTGAAGTGTATAACCGGTTTATAATAGGTTTATACACATGTTATAATTATAATAATTGATTAATTAGCATGCTGTTTGAGCTCCTATGATGTGTGTTATAGGAATACCCTATTAAACTGTCAAACACCAAGCGGTCACCGGTGACCGCAACCTATTGTTCTATAATTGTGTCTATAATGATGGTACTCGACGAGTTAAAGGCATTTTAACATTGTAAAATCAAATAATGTAATCAAATATTTATTTTTATCTTTTCTATTTTGAGATAGGGAATCAGAATTATAACATGTGAAACTAATGGAAAAAATGTTGTTTTGTTTACTTTATTTACAGTTATCTTACTTGTTTACAGATATCAGCAATTAATGAAGTGTGTGCTGTATGACACCGCCTGCTCTCTTTTTAGAAGAAGTACTCCTAGAAACAACCTAAATACAATGAAATAAAAGTATTTCAAAATAATACATTTGTTTTATTTTAAACAGGTACCTAGTAACTATATATAAACAATCTATAAAATAAATGCCATCTTTATTTTAGATTGCTTTAGTTTTATACCAAAAATGTTCATTTTCATTTTACATTTCTTTACTTGTGTTGTGGTGGCCAGGAGGTTTAAGAAGCCCGTTTCTCATGCATGAGAGTGCAAGTTGCAACGGCAAAGTACCAATGTGACTTTTTCGAGTTATGTATATATATTTTTTATTTATTATTTAATAATCTAAGAAAGTACAAAGACACCACTGACAAACGGTGAAGGAAAACATTGTGAGGAAACCTGGGCTTATAATTTCTAATTATAAGTTTGAAATCACCAACCCACATTAAGCTAGCGTACTGATTAAACTGTCAAACACAGAGCGGTCACCGATGACCACAACCTATTGTTCTTTAATTGTGTCTATAATTACGGTACTCAACGAGTTAATGCTTAAACCTAATCCAGTGAGAAGAGACCTTCGGTCGGCATGGGCCACTTATAGACTTAATGATGAAACTGATGATGATTTTACTTATTTGACTTACTTATTAGAAATTAAACCTTAAAACGCTTGCTAAGCAACCAGTTTTCAGAAGAAATACTTTCTCAAAGAGCTACGCTTAAGTTTAAATCGAATTAACTTAAAGACTATTTGTATATCAGGCCTCTGCCTCGAATCTTGATTTTACACATTAAATCTTGCATCTGCCCGCAAGATTCAAGGTGAAGTGAGACATTAGTTTTATCATATCCGCCAAAAGACGTCCACTGCTAAATGTAGGCCTTCTACCCAATGACAGTCGCTCACAATATTAATTTGCATTTTCGTAGGCACCTAGTAAATGAAAGAGATTGTAAAGCATACTCTGTAAAACTCTATAGTTACAGCATACTTGCTGAATTAACAGTTAATTAATTTACTCATAATACAAAGTGTAACAGTCACGAGTAGCGAGCAGTGTTTAGAGTTTAGTTTGTAAACAAAACAACCAAATAAAAAATAAGTCAACATTGACATTTTTCAATTAACTGTCATCTGTCATTTGTCATATTATGTACTTTTGCGTAAAGGTGGCATTATACTTGACATTGCGTATTTGTTGTGTACGGCCAAAACAGACCATGTGTGGAGGGTTTATTCGTCTTCATTTGCTATATACGTATATTTGCACGCTTTTACATTTATAGATACTATTTGGACGCCATTTGTACGTAGTTCACGAATATTTGTACAAATGAAGCGAATACGCAATGGCAAGTGTAATACCGCCTTTACGTACCTTCTGCACATTTTCAAAGTGAAATAACTTTTGAACCCGAAGTTCTAAAAATATGTAATTTTTTTCTAAACTTCATAATAAAAATATCTATCGTTCAGACCATTCACTTGGTTAAAACAATGACAAATACAAAATTTTATAGCGGTACCAAACCTCCATACAAACCTGCCATTCTCCTTTCTTATGATACAAACAATCAAACCGGGACGTATAGAGTGGGACAGAGAAAGAGTCAGTCAAATGATCAAAACGCTTAATACTATAAACAAAACTCTAAATATAAATAAACATAACATAACATCACAGCTGTTATCCCCGAAGGGGTAGGTAGAGGTGTACATTACAATGGCACATAAATGCCACTATACAATGTACCACCCAGTTTTCACTAAATATGGTCCTAACAGCCCGTCCCGGCTTCGCACGGGGTAGACAATTATTTATCTTTGGAAATTTGGATTGTTGTAGTAACATAACTACAATAGTTGGACATAATTATGCTACCGCGGAGTTTTTGTAGACATTATGATGTTTTTCAATATTGTTGTAGGTACATTATTTTGTTCTATCGCTAATAGTTTCGGCAGCGCATTCGACGAAAGACATTTTAAGACTCATTTTTCTACACCTTCGGTTACATTGTTAAAATTTTACCAAGGATCCCTAATTTTTTTCAAAATGAAATGTAGCCTATATCAAATTGGAAGAATGTAGCATTCTATTGGTGAAAGATTTTTTTAAATCGGCTCAGTACTTTTTGAGCCTATTCATTACAAACATACAAAAATAGGTACAAATCTTTCCTCTTTATAATATTAGTATAGATGAGGCCCATGTAATAGGGGGTGAGCGTATCGCCATATACCGGGCACGGGAATCGAACCCCTTGCCCGGTAGTCGCACTTGCCACCACTCGACCAACGAGGCAGTCGGCAATCAACAGGATCTTTTCGCAATACGAGGCCGTATTCAATCTAGCCATATTGAGTCAAAAAGTTCTACCACATGAGTTCATTGCAGCTGAAGGTCATCCCACATTTAAAAGCACAGCTCCGGCAACAACACCAAAGGTATTGTTAAAAGGTGAAAGCTTTTATTAATACCTACCTACGTTGCGACGTTGTTTCGCTGGCCCCTGGTGGGCGGCTCGCCGTCAACTCGCCGATGTCGAAGCCACGCGGGCGGCGCGCTGTAAGCACGCAGGCCCCTCGAGTGACCACCCGCCGTTGGCTTTTTGTATAGATGTAACGAAATATATCATACGACATATGATTTAAAATTCATAT